TAAGTTAGCATCTCCTTGGAGATCCAAGTTCCAGTGTACCTAGGGGTCAGAGTAGGACCATCCAAATTACAGCTCCTTAGATCCATGAGGGACACACTCAGGGAGCAGACTCAGTGAACACCAAAGCCCCACTGAAGCAAGTCTTGTCTCATAAGGATGTCTCCAGCACAGAAATTCTCCCATCAGGGACACAGCTGATCCTCACAACCAATTGGCCAGGAGATCAATTCAACCCAGTGATACAACAATCAAGGCTTAACTACAACAAAACTGTGCACACAGCCCACAAAGGGGTGCACCAAGAGTGTCCACCTCAGGTAACTGGAGAAGCTGAGCCACTGGGCCCTATAGGATACCTAGCACACAAAGCCACTCTATCAGCACGGGAAGCAGCCAAAATGTAGTGACAAACAGGTCACAAATTAAAGAAATGGAGGAAAGCAAACTATTGGATATAGAATTTGAAACTATGGTTATAAGGTTCTTCAAGAATTTTCTAGAAAAGGCCAATAAATTTAGTGAGACCCTTGAGGATATGAAAAGGGATCAACTAGAAATTAAACATACACTGACTGAAATAAAGAATGATATACAGAGGAGATTCAACAAAAGACTAAAGGATCACAAGAATCAAGTCAAAGATTTGAAATACAAAGAAGCAAAAAACACCCAACCGGAAAAACAAAAAGCAAAAAGAATCCAAAAATATGAAGATAGTGTAAGGAGCCTCTGGGACAACTTCAAGTGTACCAACATTCAGATTATGCAGGTGCCAGATGAGACCTGTTAAATTGTGGTGTCAGATTTTTGAAATTTTAAAGAAAGCTAAGATACCCAGATTTTGATGTGAAACTTCATGATTCTTAAACACTGTACTAAAACTACCATAGCTTATGGATGGCCATTTTGGCAACCCCTTCTGCAGTCATCAGTAAGTGGCAAGTGAGCGGCCTAGAATTAAGTGCTAAGAGCGATTAGATCAGGGGGAACCAATAATGTGTCTTCTTTACCTTTGCACATGCCATTCCCTCTTCCTGAACACACTTACCTCATCCCTTCCAGCCCCCTCACTTGGTCCTCCTGGACAGCTTCTGTTTATCACTAAAACTCAGTTCCACTACCACTCTCTGAGAAACCAACCCTACTCCTCAAGACAACTCTAACACTCCCACAAATCACTGCTATAACACATACAACATTACATTTTAATTTTCTCTTTAGAGAACAGTCAGCCTTACAGGTAATAAGGTCCTCCAGGGCAGGGAACATGTCTTTCTTTTGTCTGCATTGCTAGTGCTATCACCATACCTGGGCTTCATTAAAGGCTCAGAAATGCTTGCTCAGGAAATAGAAGACTTTTTAGACTTATAAGTTTCTTTCTCAAAGTTTGATGCTCATACTAACTACTGCAAAATCCCCCTAGGGCCAGTTCTTGAATGTTCAGATTCAGAAAGTCCAGAGTCTGCCTCTGAATCTTGCTTTAAATAAGCTCCCTGGATGAATATTATGGGCACTAAAGTTTGAGAACCTATGAGCTGAAACGTAAACCCATAAGGAAAGAAGTTATGTCTTCTTCATTGACCATTACATTCCTCACACCTTTCACAGTGCTTGGCACAAAGTAGGCATATAGCATTTATTTGCTGAATGAATGGATGAATACATGAATGAAAATGTCATAATTAAGTTGTATCAGTGCTCCTTAAACTGCTAACAGAAAGCCCAATTAGTAGTTCATCTGTTCCTTTGTTTATATAATACTTACCATAAAGGCACCCAGATAAACTGAATGGTCAGTAACTACCATCTCTATGGACAATCTCCCTAATACATGCCCTTGTAGGCTTGGAAGAGTACTCAGAGGAGATCCCAAGGTATTTGGGTTGCTGATTCAATGACTTTATTCCTTAATGATGGCATACTAGGAAAACAAGAAAGAATGAATGAAGAGAAGACACAAAACTCTCATTTTGGCCAGTGGTGTTAGCAATCTTCCTCTTCCATCTCTTCAGCATCCTCTACCCCATAACCACCATTCTTTCTTTTTAATCTCTGTTATTAACACATTTAGTAGGAATAGCTCCTCTTCTACTTCTCCCTTCCCTTCTCCACCCTCTGGTGGAAGGATAATGAATAGCAAAATGCACAAGAAAATATCAAATGACAGCAAAAATTATAAAAATATCAAGATTTGATTATTTTCTGGAGGTAAAACTGGGGCAATTAATTTAAAGTAACTACCAGTTCATATTTCAAAAAGCTCCTGATATTAAATCTGAATAAGATGTTGTACCTGTTTTCCCATAAATGATTGATTGATGCATCTTCCTTAAAACTTCTCTCTTCCCTTTGACGTTTTTTTAGTCAATTCCAATTGGGACAGGTGTATAGTTTTCACAGACCAGTGGACAGCATGAACATAGCCCAGATGGTCCCCAGCCTCATGTGGAAGTTAACAGAGAATCTTTCAGGCAGGTTGGCAATGACAATGCCACAGTTGCTACCCAAACTGCCCAGTACCCTCTCTGATCTTGGAGCTAAAGGAAAAAATTAAAGATCTAAGCACAAGATAGTGTTATTGCTTCTCAGACAACCTCTTCAGTCAGACCTGCATCCTCTCCCCCCACCCCCACCCACACACACACACACACACTGGATTGTAAGCTACTTAAGAACAAGGGCCTTTTCTCATCTCTGGTTTTCTAATGTCCATTAGAGATTGAAAGAATAAGCAAATTCACAGGAACTTGTGCACTTGTGCACAGGTACATGGCAGCAATCAAGTTCAAGAACCCAGATCCATTCATTCTAGGTTCACTAACCACAATGAATGATATTTCATATTTCAATTTCCCCAATAAATGGCCACCAGCCCTAATAGAGATCAAGGCTTAGGTTGTGAAGATAACAGTACAGAAGCACCACCTTTTGCCTCAGAACAGTTCCTCCTATTTTTGTCTTCTATTATCTTGTCAGTCAACATCTTAACACTAGGACAGCAGTTAACATCTCTTTCCAACAAACTGTGCTGTAGACAGTTCTCAGTAGTATGAGTGCCAGCCGTTTATTCTTCTTGATTTCCTAAACAAGTAATACTTCTTGAGTAATGGAACCTTTTGAGAGGATGTATGACAAAAGCTATGGAGTATGACAAAATCTTTCCTCAGGAAATAAATTAGCATATTCATACAAATGCAAAAAATTATACATAATCACAGGTTGTTTTTAGATGCATTGATCCACCCATCCAAATCTATCCAAATACTCTACTGTAAGCCATATCAAAAGAAATGAGAGGTTATCAGATAACCAAATACCTACTCAAGATTATTCTAGCTTCCCAGGGAGATGGTTTCACAGAACTACAACTCAACAATTAAACTTCAGCTCTTTTTGAAGGGTATCAAGTAACAAAATAGACAAGATGTTTCAATCTCAGCATTACTAACATGAAGAATTGCTATTTCATTTATTCAATGGGTAACTCTTCTGCAAAATCAAAGCTGCAATTTGAAGCACTATACAGTTTTCTTCTTAGGTGCTTTATCGGGCCATTGCCTTACAACACCCAGAAACTCCATTTTGCTTCTTGGGTAATCTCAGTATAATTGATCAGGTTACCATGGGAAACATTGTCATACCCAGGAAAATGGACCTTTGGGTCACTAGACCACCATTTACTTCCTGGATGATCTTGGGGATATTATATAACCTGTGGAAGCTTTAGTTTCTTCATCTCTAAAAGATAACAGTGCTCTGAAGGGCTCTTATGAGGATTAAATGAAAAACAATTAGTGCATTGCATAGGCCATTGTAGATGCTCAATATATGGCAACGAATGTAGTTATCATTATTTATAAAATGCTTCTAGTTCCTGAAACAAATATCCTCAATAAATGGAATCTGATAAAATTATAATTCTTGGAATTTGTATCTACATTATTCTATAAGTGGTTTTAAGGATAGGAAGAATTCTGAATTCTCACTTTGAGCCTGCAAAGCATATTCAGTTCAAATCATTGAGAGCCCACCATGAGGAAATGAGGGAAAGATGAAAGAAATATTGTCTGTGACTTCTAACATCCACGGCTTAGCAGAAGTGACTGAGTCCATGTGACACACAAAACCTATGGTTCCAGTTTAAACCAGTTTCAAATCTTAAGTAGTTCTTGCCCATTCAGCTCACACTTCCATGCCACATGAGCTTAATCCCTGCAAGGAATATGTCTCTACTGATTAATTTTTATGCTTTCATCTGTCACAAAATGGCAATCATGTGACCACATAGTTTCCTTTTCAGTCCTAGTTGTCAGAAAAACTCAGGATTGTGTTTGTTGCCCATATTTTATAATGCTTTCAATTTAGATGTTGGAAATTTATTTCCCTCTTTTCCTTCTGAGGTCACCTCTGTTCTGCATTATGCTCAAATCTACTCTGCAAATTGTGTTCAAGCAATCAATCATTCAAAGCATTTTAGAAATAATCAAGGCACTGATCTTTCAGGAATTATTAGTCATTTCCCAAAATGGAAAACCAGATATACAACTTCTCATATAGTCTTTTTTTTAAATCAAGTTACAGGGACATTTTCTCCTTTTAATTTTTGGACAGGAAAAGGCTTAAGCATTTTAAACCACATTCTCCAAGTCAGACTCTTGAATTCAATGTCTCTCAGAAGTTTCATAAGTACGAAAACTCTTTCAGCTAAACCAGAAAACCTGCGAGGTAGAGGAGATGCAGTCAACCCAAGTACCCATCGTGCTGGCATTTAAAGTTAGCTGATAGTGAAAAAGTGAATCTATTCTATGAGGCATTGCAGGAGCTAAAATGCCAACTGATGGAATCACTCAAAAAGCCCTAGACATTTTTCTTGGAGGGCTTTCTCTTATGAAGACAAATGACAACTCAAGTCATTTTTGCAACACCATCACCTACCCACAGGCCCTCTTCTCATTGGTCGATCGCAGAAAAAAATCTCAGAAATAGAAGCAATTACTTACATCTATAGGTCATCTCAAAGCTGTCGCTGATGTTCACAATATCAATCTGGGGGAGGAGCTTCGGGGGCTCTGTGAGTTGCGACAAAGCAAATCTAAAAGCGGCATGTTCCTGCGACTGCTGGTTCGGAAATAATCCCCCTGTGAGGAAAGAAAATGAAGCATGGTTTCTGAGCTAGAGACAGGTTTGATTCCTCCCCAGAAGGACCCCCTTCTTCTCCCCATGCCACACTCACTAGTTGTAGCCTTTAGTGGTGGCAGTGAGAGTTCAAATAGAGGTAACTGGGCACTGAGGCTTACACTTCTGTAGATGGGCTTTCATGGGACAAGGGCCTTTAACTCACCAGTCACTCTCCCCAAACATTGTATTGTTACCCCTCAACTCAGCTCAGGTCAGAGAAACCAGGAGAACTGTGACATTTCCCTTTCTCCTCCGTGTGCCAACACCTAGGTGCCCTATGCTCTTACATGCACACAGACCCTTGTTGTGTCTAACTTTGTCCTCTATCAAACCCATTTCTCACCACAGAGCCTTACAGGGGTAGTGCTACTACATGTGGCACAGTGAATCCTAACTCTGGGGCCCCGTGGGCTTCTCCTACACTATACCCATTTGGTTTGCTACTTTTGGCCTTGGACCTGCCAAGACCTTCATGCGATTTAACTCTCCTATCACCTGGAAGGTTCATTCTTCATCTCCTCTGAAAACTCTTTATTTTATGCAAACAGTGTTTTGCTGCTTCTTTTACACTCACATTCCAGCTACCTAGGAATGACTTGTTACATAAGGAATTGCCCTGGTGTGCATTTGCATGATAGAGCCTTGGCCTTCAAACAGCTGAGGGCTTAGAATGTCCAGAGAATATGCGTTTTCTATTCTAGTTAAAGAGAACAACAAAGGCGCCTGTTGGGGCTCCATTTCCAAGAAACAAGAGTACATGGCTTACCTTTGTATTTACTGTGGGCATGTAAATGAATTAAAACACATACTTGTGGATGAACGTGAGCTATTTCCAGAGGTTGCACTACAATGAATGTTTACACAGAAGTTTATCGCAGAGCCCAGAGGAATCATAGTCCCAGTGTCAGGCACTTCTCTAACTTCTTATACAGGGGGTATGTGTTTGGTTTCCCGAACCAATAAATAGATTGTAAGGCTTTTCAAAGAGACTGTACAAGGAAAATCAAGTACTACCTGCTGGCAATGATATTTTCAGCATTTGCTCTACAATTTAATATTTCAGCCCTTTATTTGAAAACGGAACAATGGTTGTATCAGTTGAACAGCAAACTCTCCAGAGACACATGGGCAAGCAAATCATGTACACTCTCCCCCCTCCCATGTTAACCCCATGGCAAAATACACTCTGACATATCTGAAGAAAAACATTTTCAATCAGCAAGGTATGGGCAATACATAAGTACCAACATAAGCAATGCTACACCTAAAAGCAAGCGATTTACACCTGTGCATAGTCTTCCATTTTAAAGAGGGAAAACAACAAACTCCTCTGGATTCTGTTGCTCTCCCTTCACCCCCAAGATGACCACACCCCAAAAACACTTCCCAGTCCCAGTGTTTCCCTTGGAGTCCCTGCAGTGAATGAAAGAGGGGGTGGGAGTGGGGAGGCAGGCAGCTACAGGCTGAGCTGCTGGAAGGCAGGAAGTTTTGTTTTGCTTGTAAGGCACTAACACAGGTACACAGACACACTTCGGAAGGTAGCTTAACAGGTGTCAGGAAACAAAGCAAGTTACTCCGTGGCTATTCCAGCCCTCGGAGCCAGCCCGCTGGGGAGGCCAAAAGTGACTGATTCTGCAGCACATGCTGTGTGCTCAACAGCATACCACCTGCACCACAACCCCCCACAAACAGACTCACACAACGAACACAAGTGATAGGTGATGAGAACTTTCCCTAAGGAGCTAGGTCCCTGCCAGGGTAAGAAAACAGAACTCAAACCAGCCAAGATGCCTCCAAGCAGAGCAGCTTGCTTGATTCCTCCTTACAAACAGCCCTGAGATGCGGTCACACTGAATCCAAGGGCCCTTGTGGACACGCGTTGTAATTGGTCTAACAGTTCCTGTTTGTTTTGCTTTCACCCATTATTAACATGAGAAGCAGTGTAGGTTGGCTGCTCCATAAATACAGGGAGGCTGGGGTCTTTTTAGAAGCACAACAACTAGGAAGGAGAAACAGGGAACAAAAAGACAAGCAGCCTGTGGAAACCAGCTGCAAGTTGCAGGGATGGAGCCCAGGGCTGGGAAAGCTCGGAGGAGGGCAGAGGAGTGTGTGTAAATGTGTGCGTTTGTGTGTAAAGGTCTGTGCACAGAAAATCGAAGAGGAGGGAGCCATTGAAGGAGCAGAGAAAAGGCAGGCTAAGAAGTCCCAGGATCCCAGCAGTGGGGACCACCAGCCTAGCATGGCAGACAGCAGAGAGCAGGCAGCTGAAAGAGTCCAGAGCAGGAGGGGAGCCCCCTGACTTGGGGGGTGCTTTTGGCATTATTTCAATGGCTGCAATAAACCTTTGCTTCTTATTTTAGATGGTCTCTAAAGAGACCTCCTCCAGCTAAGAAATCACTGCCACTCTCAATTAAGTGTCTATGTGGCTACTTAATACATAATCACACACATCAGACACCACAGGTATTTATATAAGTAAAGGAAATCAGGCACCATCTACCAAGCAATGGAGTTAACTCCTTAAACATCCACCATTTCTTTCCTTGCTAAAGCTTGATTATTTTTATTCCTCCATTTCACATGCTCATGCCTGGAGTGTGTGTGGGGGGACTGTGTGTGTGTGTGTGTGTGTGTGTGTGTGTGAGAGAGAGAGAGAGAGAGAGAGAGAGAGAGAGAGAGAGAGAGAGAGAGAGAGAAGCACTTCCCCTCTGCTCCCCATCTGATCAAGAGGAGCCCCCTCCCCACGCTGTGGCCCAAGTCCTTCTCCCATCACCGAAGCACAGCCTTCACTAGTCAAGCATAGTCCTTAGTGGGGGTGGGGAGACATAGACACCCCCCTCCTCAGAAAAAAAACCTGGCCAGACCCCAGAAAGTCCCTCCCCCAGCTGCCCCTCTCACTCACCGATCTGGATATTGTTGGGGAAATTGGCACCTACTACCGCGCCTAGGAAACCGGTGCAGAAGAAGGCAAAAATGTGCTGCATATTCCTTTTTGCATTGGCGAGAAAGAAGCCCAGGTCCAATCATAGATTTGGTGTTTCCCCCTTCCCTGTATTCCTCTCTCTGTTCTGCTGTTCCTTTCCTCCTGCAGTTCCTTCCGCGCTTCCTTCCTTCCTTTCTTCCTTCGGCAGAGGTGTGTGTTTCCCTTGGAATCCGAGCACTTAAACTGCAGCGTTAACACCAACTGACAGCCAGATTAACTGAGCACGGAAAAGAGAAGCCGTCCTCCTCATGCTAGCTGGAGCGCTTGCTCCCCTCTCCTCCCCTCTCCTCTCCTCCTCTCCTCTCCTCTCCTGGAGCAGCCTGCCTCTCTCTCCCTCCCTTGCTCGCGCTCCCTCGCTCTCCCCCTCACACTCACACAGGCAGCAAGCTGTGTGCTCATGCCCACCAGCCAGCTTAGAGTTCCACAGATGCCCTCTCTCCCTGTGTCACTCCTGGCCTCCCGTCCTCACCTCATCCTCCTTTCAGGGTGCTAGGCGGATGGGTGGGAGGGTGGGTGAGGGAGTGTGATACAAGGAGCTTGGTCCTAAAAGGGACAAAGCCAGTGTCCCCTTCCCCCGCTGCCCCCTTGCCTTCCTCAGCTTTCTGCCCCCTCCCCCAACCCCCAGCCTGGCAGATGCTCCTGGGAATGTGGGTTCAGCTGTAAGTCAGTAGGTGGCAGGGGGTCCCCGCAATAGTCCTCCATCCACAGGCTGCTTGATCTAGGTCACTTTTTCTAGGAGCGCTCGGGCTGTGCTGGATATATCTCCTGCACTCCATTGGCCCAATTATTCCTACAACTAATTCCTGAGGGGAAGACCCTAGAAAACCCCCACCACCACCACCACCACCAGGAGCTTTAGAGGGGAAAAATGCTTTTCCTCCCTCATGGGAGGAGTGACAGAAAGACAAACCCGAGAGTCTGGGATGATTGGCAGGTGCCTTTGCTTGGACATTGTGCAGTCCCTGTGTGCCTTTGCCGGTGGAATCGGTGGTCCCTAAACCATAGGCATTGAAAATGGGCCCCCTTCCCCGCTTCCCTGCATTCCACAGGAGACTCTGGCATCAGAATGTGTGGGTGTACATGACGGCAAAGGATACTTGCCCAGAGCAATTACATGAGTCATTTTGCAGGGATTAGAGTGAGAGGATTCAGACTTCTTACAGTTACCTCTGGATGCGGCCATTCTCCTGTAAACTGGAACTCCATAGAGCCTCCTGGACAGGGGTTCTCGCTGCAGAGGGACAACTCTGGTCAGGGAAACAGTATGGGTTCCAGAGTAGTCATCACTACCAGTCACAGGACTTTATAGTTTCTGAAGCGACTTCACAGTGTTACCCTGCTCTCTCCTCACACCTGTGACGTGGCCACAGCCCTTATTTTACTAATGAAAAAAGTGAGGTTCCAGGGATCCAACCATAAAGACATGGACCTACTAAGATGGAGTCTGGATGCTCAGGACTAGCACATATATTGTTTAATCTATGAACTTGAATATTCTGGGTATTACCAATGGGCCCACTCACTGCCCTGGTCAGAATCCCACTTGATGAATAATAGTCTTGGAAATGAAAGCTCTATTAAAAAGAGGGGAACGGACCCAATTTTGCTATGTCATTTTGACTATCCAAAACTCCCCACTTCTCTCACTGACAATGCACACTCTCCCATACTTGCAGGACAGCTAGGAGGCTGGGATTTGCAAGAAATATCAGACCATGTTTGATGGAACCCCTAAAGTAGGAGCAACTTAGAGGTCAGATGCTTTATAATTTCCCATGCACTCTCACATATATTAATTAGCTCAAGTGATTTTTAGAGCTAATGTTTATTTATTTACCATGTGCCAAGTTCCATGCCAAACAATATGTTTGCATCATTTACTTGTGCAATGACACCTGTGATAGATCATCTAATCTCCATTTTATAGTTCAAGAAACTGAGGCCTGAAATTCACCAGAGATTCCATTACAAACAAGGGAGAGATTGGGGATTTGAACACAGGAAACTCTGCAATCACGCCCAAGCTCTTAACCCTTAGGTTCTAATGCAGACAGCACTCAGCAGGAAGATTCTAAAGGTATGTGAACCTCAGCTTGGGAAGGTGAGAGAAGAGATCAGGAAAGATTTTGCCTCTAAAGTCCCCGCTGACATTAGACGTCTGTGATGCAGTGATTCTGGCTTAAAATATAATTTCTCCATTTGCATTTTTTTGTCTCTTACTATTTTGAATGGTACCAGGGGAATCTTTTAAGATCTCTGAGCTTTATGCCTGGTAATAATAATAATTAGGCTGTCACTGGAAGCTTCACACTTCTCTGTCACCTTTCAGAGGATGATCTCGAAGCCCTTTACAAGAATTAATTAGCAAAACCTCAACACCCACCTGGAATAGGCAAGACTTATTTCACTTACTTTGGAGGAGAGGGGCTTAAAGTAGTCAAAACCATACACTTTCTTCAATCATTTCAAGTCATGCAGTCAGATAGGTTTTCCTAAAATAGAGTTCTTCATTATTGCTCTGCTCAAATATGACCAATGACTCCCATTGGCCTATTAAATATATAGAGTTGCTCAATCCTATATAATAAAAGAGCAATATGCAAATTGAACAGCAGAATGACCAGTCACTGTGATGTGCACTGCCCACCAGGGGACAGATGCTCAACACAGGAGCTTTCCCTTGGTGGTCAGTGCACTCCCACAGGGGGAGCGCTGCTCAGCCAGAAGCCAGGCTGATGGCTGGGGAGTGCAGCAAAGGTAGTGGTAGCAGTAGCCTCTCACGCCTTCGTGGCAGAAGTAGGGATGCCCAACTGCCAGCTTAGGCCCACTCCCCTCTCCCCCACTCCTGGATGTGGCTCTAAGTCATCAGTCAAACATCCCCCAAGGGCTCCCAGACTGCAAAAGGGCACAGGCAGGGCTGAAGGACCCCCTCCTATCCCCCTACCTTCCCACCCAAAGTGCACAAATATTCACCAGGCCTCTAGTGACTAAATAAACATGGAGGTTATACATTTCAAGTCTGGGTATCTAGGTCTAAGTACATTTAGGTTCAACTGTTTGCCTTCAGAATTCTCTTCAAATATTGGTGGAGAACAAGGCAGGTGAATGTGGTAGAAGAGAAAGACAGATGAACCCAGTCATCCAGAGCACTCATGGCACGTGCTCTAATAGAGATGTAAACACACACAGGGGAGAAAAGAAGGAAGCGACTGAACATCTGTCTGGGGAGTCAGCTGGGCTTCCAAAAAGCTGAGCTGTGAAGGAGGAAACTACAGGCAGAAAGTGAGGGCCGAGCCCAGCAGTGTTGACCAGTGTTGACTCATGAATAAGGAGTTACAGTTCAATTCCTGGTCAGGGCACACGCCCCTGGTTGTGGACTTGATTCCTAGTGGGGAGCATGTAGGAGGCAGCAGATCCATGATTCTCTCATCATTGTTATTTCTCTCTCTCTCTCCATCTCCCTTCCTCTCTCTAAAATTAATTAAAAGAAAACATATTTTTTAAAAAAAGAAAGTGAAGGCTGAGAACAGAGATGCAAACCAAGGGAAGAGCACCTGCAAGGGCCGGAGAAGATGCCAGGTGTGCAGGCGCCCATGCAGGACAGCTTGGGGAATGTAAAACCAGACAAGGGCAAGGTCAGGATGTGAATGAAAGCCACTGAATTCCTGGCAGACAATGGAGAGCCACGGGTAGGTTTTTAGTATGAGAGTTCTATGACCAGGAATGTGTGTGAGGAAGAAGACACTGACCTCAGCTTCAGAGGTTAAGACTGTATACCATCCACACCCAGGACAATCTATTCTGATGTCATCTTTCATTAGTTCACCATGTCAAACTCCTTATAGCTTCCAATCCTGTTTGCCATCCCCAGTATCCATCTTGGAAGGTTTGACTATTCATAGTCTGTTGTGACTGATGGCAACCAAACTGCACACATATGAGACATTGTGATTTACACAGAATTTGTACATCCATTATTCATGTCATCCTCCCAACAACCCCACAGGGCAGGGATTAGAACCTAATTTACACATTAACCACGTAACTGCCATGATATTTTGAATTTTAAAAAAGGTCTGCAGCTTGAGTCTATAGATGCTATGGCATACAAATGGTTGAGTAATAACTCAAATTGGTAGATGAATGGTTCTCAATTGGCAATGAGTTTCTGCCCCACGGGACTTTTAGCCATGTCTACAGGCATTTTTGGTTGTCACACTTAGGAAGATGCTACTGGCATCCAGTGGGTATAGAAGCCACATGTGTTCCTTAAAGTCCAAATAAAGGAGTACTGTGAGGGACCCCAGGCAGTGGGCAGGCAGAAGGAAAAGTCCTCCTACCGTGCTCAGAGACAGTGTGGCACACACTCCTAAGATGAATTATGACCTATCCCAGCCCTCTTATTTTACTTTTTTGGCATACTTTAAGTTCCATTATCATGCAGCCAAAATAGCCTAAGACTTACTTGTTTGGCTTTGGAGTTACACCACAAATCAAGAAGAATGGTGTTGGACAGGGATTACAAATTCAAATGCCTTCTTGGGCCAAGCAAGGAAATGAATGAAATGAGTCACATAGGGGAGAGGGCAGCTAGGACAAAGAGAACTAGAGGGCAGACATCCTGTCTGAAGATGGTTGCAAGACCTCAATGGCAGCTGATAGCAGCCCCCGTGTGGCTATACCTTCTGATTTATTTTTTGAAAGAAAGTAGAAATATGGGTGTTTAAAATTTATTTCTATTATGTATACTTTCATTGCAAGAACCCAACAAAAAATAAAAAAATAAAATAAAAATAAGGGAGTGCCACTGGGCTGGATCTGGCCCACAGGCCACATAGTGCCAGTTCTGGTTCTGTGAAAAAGGCCAGAGACAGGATCCACACACACCCCATCCCCCCACCCCGATATCAACTTGGGGGATAGATCCATTTTGTTTCTGGGCTCTGCTTCTCATCTCTAAAATGATGAGAATAGACTGGGTGATTATAGCACACTGTTCTG